AGGAAGAAATTAAAAGAGAAGCCTGAAAAATGTATATCACCAAGATGAAAAACTAGCCCCCCCCCCCCAAAAAAAGGTCTTCATCTTATTTATTCTAACCAGCATGCATAATTTTTTTTTTTTAACTGATAAAGGTTCTTGTGAATTTAGAATTTTTTGAATAGCTTGAATTTATTTAGGTTGCATGAATTTCATCCATTCACAATTTAGCAAATCAGCCATGACATTTTATATTCTTTGATAACTATACATGTATGTGTACATCTACCTTGAAAATTATTCCTATACAGTTGTATGCAGGTTTTCCTGTAATTTAGGGGCTGAAATAATGTTCTAACCTGCTTCTATGCCCATATCCATGACATGTATTACAAATACCGTATTTTAGGAAGTATAGATTAAACCCTCCCACTTTATTACCTGTTTGCATGTTAATAAATCACTACCCTACAATAAATGAAGAAATTTGCGAAAATAAAACATTCAAGAAAATAAGAGCTTATAATACAGTAGCCTATGAAAGATCTTCTAACACTCATGTAGTTACAGTTCAGCAATGTAGATGAAATTTGAGGAGAAAGTGTTTATATGTGAACAGATCTGGTGAGAATAGATGGCCACAGGAGAAGTAGAGTAAATTTACAGAGAGCACTATGGGTGGCTGAGTATGTTTGCATCCTGAGCTATTTCTGGATGTATCACAGTGCCTGTAATGTTCAATTTATTCAAACATGTGTGTGTGTGTGTTACTGCTATTCATATGTACATGTATCTTATTCCATCTTTCATTGGATTTTTAAGGTAATGCAAAGTTTGGGAAATTTTGAAAATTGGCTGTAGGTCAGTGGCTTCAATCTAAATAGAGCTGTACAATTTTTTAAAAGACGTAAAAAAAAAAAAAAGGAAAACCAGATTGTTGATTGCCTGCCAGGCTTAATTCACCGTTTCCAGTGTGTTTCTCCACCTCTCTCCTTCCATCTGAGCTCAAGCTCCCTCTATGATCCTTTTATTCTCTTTCTCTTCCTCTGTTATCCAAGTATCTATCTATCCTCATTTTGACTGTCCCTCTCTGTTTCCTCAATCTATTATTATGTGGGAGAACAAACTCTTCTGTAAATCTTCAACATTCTCTCTCTCTCTCTCTCTCACACACACACAGACATGTACATGTACGCACACACACATTTTGTCTCTCTCTTACTATCTATTTTTTAAATTCTGTTTGTCTGTTTCTCCTTCACTCACTAGTTACTGAAGATCACAACTATTTTCAGTGCTTTCAGTCTATATCTCTCTCTTTCTCTGTCACTACTCACCTCCTTTTTGTCTATCTCCTTAAAGTTGATATTCTAAGACAATCTTAAATATTGAAATAATTACATCAATAGAAAGCTTTTAACCCCCAGAATAACACTAAATGGTGTCCAACTGACAAAATCAAGTTTAGAATGGTGAATTTATGCGAGTAAACTCTACCAAACTATCTAAGTCTGAAACCTGGAAGTGCATGTAGAGTCGGGCCTCTATCCGTGACATCACAAACGGGACTCATGGGCTCAGTGAGAGTGAATGGCAGTGATATCCCTACGTAAATGCTATCCTGTCAGAGCTTAGATTTGTTGTTGTTAATGAGTATATTTGATGGATTTTCTGTTTTCATTTGAATGAAGAATAATTACGAAGCAACATTTTCCAGTCGCTGATTTCTTTGTATATCCTCATATTCACCTACATGTATTTGGTAGAGATTTAAGACGAGTTTACTGCTTGGGAAACAAGGTTAAATCATGCACTTATGAATAGGCGGATGCATTATCTTTTCATCAGATAATGTACAGGAGCAGTTTTGTAAAACGAATAGGCCTAGAACTATGATAGTACTTATCATACATGTAGATGTGTGTGACTGCCTCAAAAAAGGATACAGTAAAATATCAAACTTGAACGAGATCATGCAAGCGCTTCCTCTATAATATTTTGACAACGTCTAGTGATCGAACGATATTTATCCGCGAGTGATGCGGCTCTTGCACGAACGTTTGTGAAGCGAGCAGAATTGGGAGGTAAGACCAGGCCGCTGCTCTAGGCGCGGCTTTCTTGTGATGGAACGTACGTGGGCTATAGTTATATATTTATCGGCAATTGCAAGATAATGAAAGCGACGTTACCAGCTAAGAAAAACAACTAACAAAGACTTGCTGACTACCGTATTGGTGTCAGAATTGGTAGATCGCACAATTAATGCACAGCATGGAAGAAGATGAAGGATCTGAGTTCAGGGCCAAGGAAGGCGAAAGACATGGGGAAAGGAAGAAGAAACCATCGGGAGATCGCTGTATGGTAATGAACTGTGCATGGGTACGGTCCACTTACCAGACAGCTACTGTTCACTCCGTGCCTGGGCCGATTTCAATACCAAAACAAAAATTGCATGATGAAAATATTGACTAATTAATAATAGCACATCGTTAGCATGTATATGTCATAATTTGTAAAAGGGGAATTGATATTAATACTATGAAATATTAGGGGAAGGTAAAGAATTGTACGTAGAATTATGATTTATTAGACTTTTCAGCCTTTGAAACAAAAATAAGCAGAAAATCGTATCTCTCTGCACATGCTTTCTATGGGACATCCTCCGGGTACGTGAATATACTCTTTCCCGAACGTGATGTCATATACATGTTTAGTAGACCAGCGCCGTGACTGATTTCTATGCAAAGAGAGGCGGATATTTTGGACATTTCAATGAAGGATTTCGAGTAGCCATAATTTTTTTGTGATATACTATGTAATTGAAAAACTTATAAATAACATATGCTTTCCGTAGGTACCAAATTAAGGGACATTTGTTTGCTTAGAATATCAGCTTTAAAATGTTCATTCTGTCTATCTCCCTAAAGATCACAACCCATCTCTTATATTTGTCCATACTATCTCTCCCCCAATTTCTCCCCCACTATATTATCTTCAACGTCACATCTAGTGATGCCATGTTGTCTCACCTGCTTGTAAAGCCTTGCAAAGTCCTCCCTAGATTTCTCTATAAAACCTTTGAACCCTAAGAGGTCTCGACAGGAGGCCCTTAGTGATATTTAATGACCCTGCCAGAGAGTGGAATTTACTTTGCAAGCTGGGCCTCTCAATCCTCAAATATTTCCACCAAGCATTGCATCAGTGGCAGGAGGGAGGTAGGAGGGTAGGATGATAGGCATTGTATCAGTGACAGGAGGGAGGTAGGAGGGTAGGATGATAGGCATTGTATCAGTGGCAGGAGGGAGGTAGGAGGGTAGGATGATAGGCATTGTATCAGTGGCAGGAGGGAGGTAGGAGGGTAGGATGATAGGCATTGCATCAGTGGCAGGAGGGAGGTAGGAGGGTAGGATGATAGGCATTGTATCAGAGGCAGGAGGGAGGTAGGAGGGTAGGATAATAGGCATTGTATCAGTGACAGGAGGGAGGTAGGAGGGTAGGATGATAGGCATTGTATCAGTGACAGGAGGGAGGTAGGAGGGTAGGATGATAGGCATTGTATCAGTGGCAGGAGGGAGGTAGGAGGGTAGGATGATAGGCATTGCATCAGTGGCAGGAGGGAGGTAGGAGGGTAGGATGATAGGCATTGTATCAGTGGCAGGAGGGAGGTAGGAGGGTAGGATGATAGGCATTGTATCAGTGACAGGAGGGAGGTAGGAGGGTAGGATGATAGGCATTGTATCAGTGGCAGGAGGGAGGTAGGAGGGTAGGATGATAGGCATTGTATCAGTGGCAGGAGGGAGGTAGGAGGGTAGGATGATAGGCTGTATCTTCTTCTCCAAGCTGAGAAATCTTGTGAGACTTGAATGATACGATCATGAGTGTATGATGATAAAAGTGGTCCCACCTAAATGATGTTGGCATCCTTAGGATTGCTTGGGTTCTTTCAAACAAACACAATGAAAATTGTTGTTACAGGTGTATTGCTCATCCGATCTATATTGTATCTTCACATCACAGGAGTATGGCTTACAAATACTATCATTGAAGTCTTTTCTAAATTTGCTCACCACTTGATCCTAAAAAAGATTGTTAGGGAAGGCTGATATTAGCATATATAATTGAGGTGGATCCTAATAAACAAGAGGGGAGCTACAGTACATGTATTTGGAAACGATTTATTGGACATTATTGATTCTATTATCATTAAGCATTTTGCAGTCCTTTATTATCATCATTTTCTTTAATAGTTAATGCCCTTCTTGTCCCTAGCCGATGATACCATGCGGCTTGTGAAAACGGTTGCCATGATTTAGCCAAGTACAGAAGAGAAGCAAAATGTCCATTAAGAATATGAACACAACAAAATTTAGCTAATCACCTTATTAAAAGTCGTGAGTCAGTTGCAAAATATCTTTCATTTCTCTTTCATTTGTATTTATTGACTTCTGCTTTGCATTCATGCTTTTTACACTCCAAACTAATTAATACTCTCAGTCCATCCTGTCTTTCAACCATATACAGCTTTCTTTTTAATACCTATTCACATTTGTATTCTTACTTTCTTAGCCCCTTTTGATCTCTTGGATCTATTTCATTCAAAGACGGTTGATTATGAAACATTAGAATTTCTTCTTTAAAAGATGCCTACAGTCAGCTTCTTAAAAGCTCAAACAAATTAGGTGATATAGTCGATAACAACTAAGATATTGAGCTGTTTTAGTTGCTTGACTAATGATGCAAAAGTAATAGGTTCAAGCCCTGACATGACTCGATTGTTCTTTGGCCAGGTATTCCTAAACATTTGTTGTTGTCGACCCTGATGTAGACTGTAAACTGGATCGTAGTCTACTGCATACTGATAATGGTTGCTGGAATTAAAGCTGGAGTAGTTCTTTCAAAGTTCTTTGAAACACATATCATAGTTCAAAATGTGCTGTTCAATAACCATTACATAGAGACACAAGTATATCCGTTATGTAAAGTTTAAACACATTTCCCATTTTCACATTGTATCTTTCCAGGGCAAGGAAGTCCTCCTGTACTATATTCAAGAGATTCTTGCTGAAGGCGAAACCGATTTCCCAACATGGTCAGAGCTTTATGGAGAAGAGGATGTAGAGAAAGAGGAGAACAAGGAAACCCACCTCCCTGTCATCAAGGAAAATGAAAACTTGAGCACACCCAAGAGGAATTCCACCTTGGTCAAACAACTATCGGTAAGAGATGGGAAGCCTCAATATAATTTGATTTTTATTATAATATTGGTAGCTTCAGTATTTGGGGTTGTTGATGTTCAAGTACCCGTAATTAAACAAGTTGTATTTGTTTTTATAAATGAGAGCAGTGCAGATTACAGCATGTAAACATTGAATTCAAAGTTAGATTTTTTTAAAAATCAGCAGTATTTTGGTATTTGTTATTGCATATCAAAACAAATATTTGGCCTGTTGTAGATTTTGGTATGATGGTATGACTACTAAGAAGTAAGCAACCAACCAGGGGACCGACGGCCTTAGTCATCACAGAGGGACTAAGTCACTAGGTAGTGAGGAATCATGCCTTATCAAAGGGGGCTAACAAATCTACTGATTACAAACCCAGTTCCTCTCAGTTACGAGACCATTGCTCGACCACTAAGCAATCTTGTCCTCTTGATTTGATTGGATAACTGAATTTGAATAATCTTTTAGTAGGTCTGTACTGATGGCCAACAAGTTAGATTTTTCTCTCTCAAGGGTGAGAATGAAATTAACTCATAATAAAGTTTCTTGCTTTTAGCAACTGTTTTGTTTTCTCTATGTGACAGAAGTTTTGTTTTTGTTAAATACAGGAGGAATCCAACACTTTACATCCTTTCAACAAACAGACGGCTGCTACTCTATGCATCGCCGATTGCTCTATCGTTAGGAATAGACTAGCTTCCAGTACTATGGCTGAACAAGGCGGAGCTGTAGAGGGCGCTACAGCTTCTGCAGCTGAAGGTCTGTATTAAACATGATTATTCATCTGTGCTAGTTGACATTCATTCTGAGAGATTTATTATAGTTCTAATGAATTATGTAAGATATCTCAGTGTAAATTAATTTCATTATTTCAAAAATATCTTAAAAAATTAATTGCAGTAATAGAATTGGACTATGAATATTATACAGTGCTTCTGGACTAAAAAGAATGATTTAAAAACAAAATTGTTATATGATGTGGTTGATGACATACCATACACTTCCCTTATTTAATTTTCTTTTTGATTGTTTAATTGTACAGAGGCATCTAAGGTGGATGAAGATTACATCAAGAAATTCTTGGGTGATCTGACACCCCTACAGGAGAGTAGACTAATACAGCTCCGGGAATGGCTGAGTGAAACGCATAAAGGAAAGGTACGTATCACTTTATTTTAGGGGAGTTTTAATGACTGAATGGTACTGTCAGAAATTTGTGCTAGATGAAATATTATGTGGGCGATCATTAAAGCTTTTGTAGAATGATACAAATAAAATAGTCTTTTGATTTATATCATCAAGTTAAAAAATCTTTACTTCTTTAACTTGATGATATGTAGAGGTGTCCAGGTCTAGTGGATATGTCACCAAACTGTGGATCACAGGGTTCGCGGTTCAAGTCCCACCGGGGCACTAATGTCTACATTTGCCACTCTCCACCCAGGTGAAGTAAATGGGTACCCGTTATGAAGACATTTCTTGAATGTTTTAGCACCGTATTATTGCAGCTCAGCTACAGCCGGGGTAATGATATGATACTTTGTATTGAGCGCAGTAGAGTATATTCATATATTGGCTGTGCTATTTGTTTATAGTGGCAAAGCTCCTGTCTAATGAACTGTAGCTTGCAACTTGCCTTTTAATAGTATGATTGATATTTTGTTTTGTGGGGGGAGGGGGGATTTATTATCCTTCAGAAAATTGCCTTGAGGACTGAGTTTAAACAGAATTGCATAAAAAGAACTGTGTGTTTATTTTAATTTCCTTCTGACTTTCTATCATGTAAGAGTGTGACAGATAAACAAGTAAACACTGTAAGTACAGGAAAAAATTATGAGTGATTTTCATTTTATCTTACCAATATTACACTCTATCATTAACCTTCCCTTCAGTGTATGTTATTATGGATAGATCAGATGGGATCATGAAATAGCTCAAATTTTACACATTTTATTTTAAATTGAAGAAGAAAAAAAAGAATAGAAAAGACCTGTTACAACTTTAATATGAGTTGCCAAGAGGTGTTATACCTTTATTGATAGTTTTATTGATAATAGTTTGCATGTGACAATCGAAGTGGGAATATGAATAACAACAGAACTAAGTTCTGAAATTCATCAGCTATAGACCAACAACAAATATTCTCACAGATTAATGTGAACTTGAACAAATGATTGTGATACTGGAATATATGAAAAAAATACTGTTATGATTTTTGTTGTATTGACATGTACCGGTATATTAATTGAGTAATCGGTAACATTTAACATACATGTATAAACTGGATGATATCAAATACTTACGATCTAACCCTAACCCTTCTACAGATATCAAGCATTAAACATTTTTACTTTTTTTACTATTTATTCAATCATATTCAATTGAATGATTCAGTAATATTATGATGGATATCATCTTATGCTAGCCAGCAGGTTATAATTCACTGTAAATGATGAAACAAATGGGTTTTGTAATACATGCTCTTTCAAAAATGTATAACAATAATATTGCACAATGTATTTTGATATGAGGAATAGAAACATGTTATAATTCTCACTTCTAATGTTTGGTCAAGATCATCATCTCATTCGAGATAAAGAAACATCATTGATTATTACTTTGTTAGGATGTAGGGTCCTCCCATTGAAATTCTTTTTTCCCAAGGCTTCATTTTTTAAATCTTCTTGTATCGGTCCTTCCTTTTTCTTGCCTTGATGATATTCAAATCAACTGAAACAGACTTTCTTTGTCTTGAGCCAGAGAGACTACAAATTTTGCTTACATAGCTTAGCGAAATGTGGGGGCATAAAAAGACATGTTCGGAACATAAAAATGCATATTTGTTAGATTTCATTATTTTATCACAATGAGGTAGAACCACATGGTTAGGATATGAAGCTGGTCAATGCATCTCAATGAGGTTTAATGTTAACTAAACTTTCATTCAGATACAGTGTATGTTGTAAAAAACTTATAATTAACAAATATCACTAACTGTCATGCATTTTGCGTTTTGGACACCCTAGTCTCTTTGTGACACTACATTTCGCTAAAAAGCTACTTTTCTCTTAGCTCATAAACTGTTTAGGAAGGGGTTTATTTGGGATTGTTTACATACAAGGCATGAGAATATTTTATTTGGAAAGTGATTGCAAAAACTGGGAAATATTCAAATTTATATTGAAGGGGAAATAGAATACGGTAGTCTCTCTAAGGCTTAGCATTGAATGCAGCAGAATAATTTCATACTAAGAAATCAGAATAATAACACATATACATACAAAGTTATTGATCACAATGGGGGAGGGGGGGGGGTAGGATTGCACAAGGTGATCGTGACATTTTCTCCTATGACATGACCTGTATTTTATCTGAGATATAGGGTTCAGACTTGGGTTGCAGTTGGGTTTTAGCTTAGGATATTGACCTACATGTAGTTGTAGTTTGAGGTCTAGGGTTAAAGTTGAAAATTTGACTGGTGTTACAATTGACCGTAGAAAAATTACTATTGTAGTATACTCTATGTTGTCCAATCACAAAAAAAAATCTATTTTCCAATCTCCTTTCTATTTGCACATGTATCGCTGTGTGTAGATGCCCAAAGACTCTCACCTGCTGAGGTTCCTTCGAGCGAGAGACTTTAACACAGAGAAGGCACATGAGATGATCACAGCGTCGTTAGCATGGAGGAAACAACACAAAGTAGATCAGATCCTCAGTACCTGGGAACCACCTCCTATACTCTTAGATTACTTCCCTGGTGGATGGCACTTCTGTGACAGGGGTAACATTCTCTTTTTAAATTTTTTTTTCCCCTCCAGAATATCAATTTTATTTTTATAGTTAGAATACCACAATACTAGAGATAATTGTTTAGAATATCCCCTCTGAATACTAAATACTGTATAAAAAAGCAAGTTTTTATTGATTAAAAAACAAGAGATCATACATGTATACGAGATCTTTCTATGGTCTGATTGAAATGGTGACCTGACATTTTCCCATGCAACAATTGCTCTGAGCAAACTTTATTGAATACGCCAAAGCTATAGGATTATGGTTAAGGTTCCAATCGGGTTTTAGGTTATGTTTAGAGTTAAGGTTATTGTTTGGTAGATGATATCCTCAGTACGGAGGAGCCGCCCACTTTACTCCTGGCGGATGGCACTTGTATGAGAGGTGTAAGCTTCTTTTTAAATCCGTTGCTGGTTTTGTGTATGTTGGATCGCATAGGCTTAAGTACAGGAGAAATGTTAGGTCACAAAACAAGCGATGAATCGAGCTCAAAGTTTACTTATTGATTCACCCTAAAAAATCTAAAAAGTGAATTGCAAACAAGCAATTTTGTTAATAGTTAGGGTCCTCTCCACCCCCAAAACTGAATATTGAGCCCATAAACATCGGGCACACGAATGAAATGAGGGCCCAGATTGGTGCTTCCTCCTCCAATACGGCCATTTGAGACACTTGGGCCCGTCTTACAAAGAGTTACGATTTAGTGATCCAAATCAATCACAAGTCCTCCAATCAATCGCAAGTTTGCAGTCTCCTATCTCTTATACCTACATAGTTGCGATTGATATCAACTCTTTGTAAGACTGGGCCCTGGGAAACATGATTTGTTTTGTCCATGCTTGTAAGAGAATTTTTGAGTAAAAGAGCATCCCCAGAATTGGAGGACCTCTTTATTTCTTTTTCTTTTTCTTTTTGGGAATTGTGCCCCTCAGTTACACATTTTATTTTTTATTACACTTGTATCGTTGTTACTTGGTTTCTTTACAGAGGGTAGACCAGTTTTCATCATGAGGCTTGGCCAGTTTGATGTGAAAGGACTCATCAAAGCTGTAGGGGAAGAGGCAATACTTAGACACGTGAGTTTAGCACATTTGAAAGCAGTGCCACCAGGGTGGTCCACAAACAAAAAAAGTAATATTTGAAGATGGAAGCAGAATGAAGTGATGTATGCAAATCACAAAGTCCCTTGTGGCTGGGCTCCATGGCTTACTTGAGGGCACTAAAGTTACATTACATATTTAAACCTGTTGCTGATTTATACATGTTTAAACCCCTGCTGGATCACCCTGGTGCCATTGAATTTTAAACACATGCATGGATCAACATTGGTGATGCACTATGACAGTGCCTTATTTTATTGAAATGGGTCATCGTTTTATAACAATTTTTTTTTTAAATAGTTTCCATTTTTAATTGTTAGGGACTTTAGTCTAAACTGTATGTTATATATCTTTAATCAGTTGAATATTATGGCCAAGACATCTAAGTATGAAACCATCAGAAATGCATTATATGAAAACACGCTTCTCCAACAGTTTTAGTGTTGTTTGATCTAGTTTGCTTTCATCTTTTGTATGAAATTCAGATGTATATTTGTAAACAAATAGTCAGATCAGTGATTTTTGTCTCGCATGCGTAGCAAAAAGCGAGACATAGGCGCCGCTTTTCCGGTGACGGCGACGGCGGCGGCGGAGGCTTAAGTTTTTGAATTTTTGATATAATTGTTAAAATATAAGTTCTTAGTCAATGAAACTTTGACTATGGGGTAATCAAGTATCCCCTATCATGTGAGTAGAATTTTAGATCACAAAGTCAAGGTCTAAGGTCATTTTCAGGTCAACAGACTTGGACTATGTTGTAGCATCATCATCGAAAACTTAACCTAAGGTTAAGTTTTTGAATTTTTGATATAATTTTGAAAGTATAAGTTCTTAGTCAATGAAACTTGGACTATAGGGTTATCAAGTCTCCCCAATCATGTGAGTAGAATTTCAGGTCACTAAGTTAAGGTCAAAGGTTATTTAAGGTCAACAAACTTAGACTTTGTTGTGGCATCAACCACAAGATTTTCAAAATTGCTTCTTCTCCCTCATTTCTTGACCGATTTTGATTTGGTTTGCCTTATCAAGTAGAGCTAAATTTGGAATACTAAACTTCTTCACAGAATTTTGAGATTTTGCTCCATTGATTAATTATGGTAATTTATGCAAATTTATTCCAAAAATAATTTAAGAATCACAAAAAATGCTTCTTCTCCTTCATATTTCGACTGATTTTGATTTGGTTTGCTTTATATCGTAGAGCTAACTTTAGTACACTAAACTTCTACACAGAATTTTGAAATTGTTCTCCATTAATTAATTATGGTAATTTATGCAAATTTATTCAAAAAATAACAAAAAATTGCTTCTTCTCCCTCATTTGTTGACCAATTTTGATTTGGTCTACCTTATCTGATAAACTAAACTTCTCCACAGAATTTTGAGATTTTGCTCCATTGATTATTTATGGTACTTTATGCAAATGAAATGAAATTATGTCTCTTCCAGGGCATCAAATTTTCATTTTTTGACCAGTTCAAAAGTGTACCACATAAAATTTACGATATTTGTTGTTGCGAGATGCGGATGAGCGCTACCTCATTGACGTTCTGGTTTATCATATTGAATTGCGTTATGCAAGCGAGACCGCCGAGAGCGTTTCCCTTGTTTTTTTTTAAAGACAGCTTTTTGGCTGTGTTCTTTTGAGAAGTCAGCAAGTTGATATATAACTTGCAAAAATTCAGTTTCATTTAATATTACATGTACATGATCTATTAAAGCCTTCATATTAGTAACCAGATGATGCTGTTTGATTTGTTGTACCAGGTGTTATCAATTAATGAAGAAGGTATCAGGAGAACAGAGCAAGCTACGAAGCAGACAGGACGTCCCATAAGGTAAGGTCTTCTTCATCTGCAGCTTTGGAAGAGTGAAATATTTGGTAAAACCACAAACTTTTGAAAAAAATCTGGATTGGTCTAGTTTCACGCTGCACGCTTGTTTATTTATAGCCAGAAGGCCGTTAATTCTGCATTAAAGTATACGAGTTAACACCCTTGTGGTAACAAAATCTTGGAATGTTTCATTTCACTAAAGGTGTTTTGGTTTTACAGCCCTGTATTTCATATTGTCCCTCACACTCCAAACTATCAGAATTTCTGTGAGGAAGAGCATTCCATAACAAATATACATGTAAGGCACCACTTGAGAGTGAGTGAGTGAATACTTGATATATCCTTATCTGATGTAGATAGGATTGGTGTTATCAATATTTATTTGACCAATTCTTAAAATATGCAGGACAGAGGTAAGAAATCAAAATACAGTCATCTTTTCTATTTTCCATTATTTTAGATATTTACTTTTTGAATAATGAACTATTGGATAATCTTATTTTTTAGTGTTGTATTACATGTACTTTGAATGATTTGCTACTTATTGGTCTATTGTCATAAATTGTATAGATAGACTTTTTTTACGCAGAAGGAATTGTGTATTGTGAAAATTAGTTTTTCAAAATCATACATTTTTTCCCACTCATTTGGAAAATAAATTCTGGTTTTGATTACAGCTCTTGGACATGTATTGTAGACTGTGAGGGTTTGAGCATGCGCCATCTATGGCGGCCAGGCATCAAGGCCCTCCTGCGTATGATAGAGGTCGTTGAGGCTAATTACCCAGAGGTGATGGGCAAGCTACTCATTGTGAGGGCGCCACGTGTCTTCCCAGTCATCTGGACACTGGTCTCACCCTTCATTGATGAAAACACAAGACAGAAGTTCTTGATTTACGGTGGGAAGAACTATATGGAGAGTGGTGGGCTGACCGATCACATAACTCCACAGTATGTGCCTGACTTCATATGTGGTGATTGCTATGTAAGTCAGGAAAATGAAAAAAATTAATTTGTGTTGTTTTCCTTTTTTATCTTATGAAATTTTCTAAGGGCATCAATGTAAAAAGGAGCCCCCAAGAAATTATTTTAAAAGAGCATTAATGTCTTCTAATGCATCACAGTAGCTTAATTCATTTTGACAGAAAAGAACCCTTTCATATTATTAACTTATCTTTCATCATGCCTTTTTCGTAAACCCATACATTTAGGGTTAGTGTTGATTTAATAGGCGATATATTAGCAAATATAGGCCAAAATTCACAAAGGAAGTTTGTGTAAAAAGCCATGGTCTTAATCATTATTTAAGCTTGGTGTGAACCATTGTTTAAATGCTCTTAAATGGTTCTAGACTATGCTCTTAACATAATTTTAATCATGCATGTGTTAAACATACTTAAATATGAGCATTAATTGGACCTGAGGCCATACATGGACATTGTATGTGTTCTCTATTAATTGGGGTTTAACCCTATATAGCCTGGGCTATTTTGAAACTGCATAGCCTGGGGGGGGGGGGGGGGGCTTCTAAGGCCCCCCCCATGATCTAGACCGTGAAACGACCTATCGCCGCACAATTTTGCATGCATGTCAAGTGAAGTGTATAGAATACTATGGTAATTTCAATTTTTTGAAAAAATTCACTCATTTGCATACATGTATTTATGGTAATTAGTGCAAATATGGTAATAATATTCACATTTTTATCCATAAATCATATATTCTTCATATTTAAACATTAATTTATACTACATATATTATTAAGACAATTTGGGATAATAATACAGCCTAAAAAATTGGAAGAGCCAGGTTATTCCTCATGTTATCTATTGTTTTGATAATTTCTTATGTATTTCTTTGTTTTTGTTGTTTTATCTCATTTCCAACTATAATTCAACTATTTTGACCCCAAAATAAACACCTAACTATAAACAAGACCAAATACCCAATGTTTTATCTCTTTATTTGAAAAATGAGATTTCCATATGTCTTGTACACAAATCACAAAAATGAGCGATTTTCGGGCTGACATGCAAAGACAAAAAAGGACACGTGACTTTGTAATGGGAGGTCCGATTTTCGAAAAATTTCTTTCAAAAGATGCGCAAGACTCAAAAGAAAAAAGTCACAAAATTTCAGTGCAAGATTTTCTTGCGTTAAAAAAATTGTCGCGAAAAATGTCGAGGGGGGAGGCTTCTAAAGCCCCCCCCCCCCCCCCCAGGCTAGATAGGGTTAACCCATGATACAGATGAACCTCCGTTTTTAATTCTGGTCATAAAGGTTCAGGTTGTGTCATGTCATTTTAAATTTTGAATGATAGGAAGCACTTAATGTCCAACATGACATCTGCACAGAATCTCTTTCCCAAAGCTTCACTTTTTTGAATCATTGCTTTGACAGTGTGATATACCAGAGGGAGGCATCATCCCTAAGGCATGCTATCGATCCACTGATGATCTGTTCACAATAGGAGAGCCAACACTGTGTGCTGAGACAGTCTACAAGTCTGCTCTCCTGCAGAAAGGCATTCCACATGAGGTATGGGATCTTGTACCATGTTAGTCATATGTGAACATTTTAGTGTACAAACTTGCCTTTAAAACATGCTAAGGGGCAGGGTAACATTAGAATTGGCTATCATGAACAGGTTGTTCATATTTGATTGTAGTTTTAGTCATTGTGCTTGTCCCAAGACATATTTGCATTGATCACTAAGAAAGGATTTCATGACTGCCTATCAAGTTTTTTACACATAAAAAAGCTGTAAATTTGCATTTACTTTCGGAGACTGATCTCTAATCTTAGTAGACATACTTTAGCTTGTTTTAAACAGTTCCTTTACATTGAGCTCACATGGTACATATTTTCATGGTAGGCTATAGGCCTAATGAATACTGATATAACTGTTTTGTTGTTGATGAATGTTCTTTAGATTAGTGTTTATTTATTGTAAATGTAAGAGGGAGCCAGATATCTACAAATGTAGGCAAAGCTTGCTTTGCAATCTTAGGCACACATCTGATCTTCTCTCTTGGTCCTAAACCAGGTCCTAGTCCATGTCAAGGACGCACAGCAGGTCCTGACCTGGGACTTTGACGTCCTACGAGGTGATGTGGTCTTCTCTGTCATGGTCTCCCGTCGGCCGTTGACCATCCACAAAGAAGTGACCAACCCCGTGTCAACCCCGGCTGGAATAGTAGCTAACACGGTGGTTATTGACAAGTCCATGCAGTGTGGCATAGACTACAAGGTGGTGGAGTCTGCTCTGGTCTGTAAGGCTGGAGAAAGCATACAGGTAGGTGTGGATGGAGGGAGGGAGGCAAGTGGGTGTGGCATATACTAGACCTACATTAGGTCATGTCTTATAAAGAGTTGTTTTGATCCAGAATGATTATTAGATCTCCAATCAGTCTCAAAATTACAAGCTCCATTCTCTTTAGTAGATAGTTGCGATTCGTATCAAGTTATGATTGATTTGAATCAGTCGCAACTGTTTATTAGACAGAGTTGTGTGTCTTGTTTTTGGCTTAATACAAACAGATTTTCAGAGGGCAAATGACATATGTGATTTAAAAAGCACCCAATGGCATATGTTCTTTGAAGAGCCAATGGTTTTGATATGTCTTCATATTTTATGTATACTTTGTAAATGCTAGTTGCCCTCAATATCTTATAAGTTAGCATTGTCTTGCCTTACATTGTGACAACCATTGTATACAGGGTTGATTTCATTGATAGAGAGGTGTTGATACATGAGAGATGATTGGCTAAAGGTGTCTTGTTCAGTTTAGCACTATGATGTATGAAGGATGTATGTGCATGGCAGATTTAGTCCACTGATTCATAGAGTGCCCAATGACACCTTTCTCTGACAGTTCTGTAACTAAGTGAAGAAGTATTATTAACATGAAATGAATTTCTTATTTTCATTTGATGGCAGGGTTCCCATGTGTGTCAGGTAGCAGGATGGTATGTGTTACAATGGAGGCATTATAACATCTCATCAACTTTACCCACCCCGGCACAGAAGGCTGTCCATCATCATCACAAGTCTAAGATCATGTTCTACTATGAAGTACTAGCATCTGAAGATTTCAGGTATGTCTCTCTCTGCTCAGTCATATTACTTTCTCTCTATGTATGATGGGGGGGGGGGGGGGAGACCATAAGCTACCCAATTTTTTCTCTAAGGCCAAAAGTCCCCTAATTTAGTGTTTTAGGACAATTTCTTTTTCTTGGGCATAACATTAATTGAAGTTAACTTGTGGAAAAACTTCAACAACTTTCAGTAATGCATAATTTATTATTAGTCATTATTATCTTTTTTCTCTTCTCAGGGTCTTAATGAACCTTATATGTCATTTAAGACCCAAATTTTTGACCCCCTTATTTATGTGAGGCCTAAAGTTTGATTCCATTATGATGTGTAAAACCTGCATTTTTTTACCCTAATTCTTATTCTCAGGGGCTCGATGACCAGTTTACAGTCATGCCATAGTGGTTTCTCATCATTGAGCATCAGTACGACGTCGAGTAGAGCCAGCGACCGATCCCACGCAAGCTCTCACACTACCATCTCAAGGTGACTAGACCAGCAGGATGCCCGCTTTTAGTGCCAAGCCAAGCTCCGCCCAACTTGTCTATTTATTATATCAAGCTCTACCCTTCCAGTCAAGCTCCGCCCAACTTGTCTATTTATTATATCAAGCTCTGCCCATCCAGAAGACTGCTGTCCCTGCCTGCTTGCTAGCCCCCTCGTCCAGGAAGTGTTTCTGGGGCAGATGACCCGAGTGTTTGACTCTGAATCCAGTGACATTATTCAGACTCACCTGATAGGTTTGTCCATGCTTATAGGATGTAATGATTCCTAGCCATTGAGTTGAAAGAAAAAAACAACTACGGTGTCTGTTCTATCTAACCCTGATGATAGTTTCATTATAGTTGGTCAATAACCAGTAGATAGTTCAGGCCTTTAGGCAATATTTCTTATCAAATGCATCTATTGTGGGTCATGTAGTTGCTACATGTATGTTATACAGCACAGTCACAAACCCAAATCATAAAAGCATGACTGGGACATGTGTATCAAGGTCAATTTACAATCAATGACTGAATCTTTAATATTATGTTCCTATCTAATAACACCCTTCCTAATACTCCTTACCCATATATGTACAAGAGTGTGAATATTATGTCTCGTTAAGTACTTAAATGGATCATAAATGTCCACCCAAATTCAAGAAGTACTACCAAGTTGACTGCATCGTAGTATATCCATCAGTCTAAACTCCACTTTACAAAACCTTACCCCTTGTACTTTGTAGGGCATTCACAGTCGATTGTTGCTTGTCACCTTCGTCCTTTGAGAGACAAAGTAGTGTGATGTTATACCCCAGGTTACTACTACTGTTCCTGTAACCAGGCTGACATTGATATTACTATGGTACGAAGTACCTAATTCTCATTTATGATTGCCCACTTTTCTCCACATTTATGATGGATGCTGGGATGCTGGATAGAAGATCAGCATGCGCTGATGGTTCAGTGCTTTTGAATGATTGCTTCAAACATTAAAAATAAGAAGATTATGCAAAACACTGTTATGCTTCCCTCTTTTGCAAAACACATCCAACAAGTCAGCATGCATAAATGTAAACATGTATACAAAAAGTAAATCTGATATTGGAAGTGAAACTAGGATATTTTCCAATTTTATTGTTCAGCAATTTTGTCTGATGGATGAACTGTGGATCAAAATATGTATTTACATTGCATTGCATGCTAGCTTTGATGTACAGGGTGTACACTGAAACAAAGCAAAATGACATTAATTGCATAGATGTCATATCTGGTTGCTAATATCTGCTTGCAAAAGGATTTTCAAATATTTTGCAAGTAAAATGTGATTAAAGTTCCAAATCAATTTGTGACTACCTCATATCCAAATGAATGGAGCAGCTATTCTTGATCAGGATTAAGAGGACTATTCACAGCAAAGTGTAGGTTTTGTGCAGTGAGTGCTTATATGCCCAATGCACTGCCAGGGCTGTGTGTGTATCTTTGAACTCGTTTTAGACTCGTCCTTATAACTTGGTTTACTTGAGGTAAAGGTCTTGTTGCTAATATTATGCCAAAAAAGGGCTTGATCCGTTTCCACTGCAAAATTTTCCAAAGCAGCGCTAGATGTACATGTGTAATTGATAACATGAACAGGGTATTTCCTTCTTAACCTTGCACACAATATGTATTTATTTTGATACTGAATGGTTAGTTGATTATTTTCTATGTATCCTCTGTGTATGTGATAATGGTCATTTATAACTGGAATGCATGACCATGACATGTGACTGCTCCGTTTAACAAATTATCATTCTCTGTAAAGCAGTAGAGACTAGAGAATCTGAGACAAATTCACTCCACTTGGGATTCTAAGCTTCAACAGAAGAAGAGCTGACTTTATTCCCTTTCGGAACATGCCTCAATGTTAGGCTACACCTGTATTTAATAGCGCCCCCCCCCCCCCCCCAATCGCCATTATCACCTCTTACATCTCATTACTGCATTCTTGTTAAGATCTTAGCATTTAAATTCATTGGTTCAGATATTTTGCTCACATTGACAACTTGACACATCATCTGTTCAGAACCAGAATGGATTAAACTCTGTGTTGAAGTATATATGAGTTCACATCCTTCTGGCTCCTAACAGGTGGTATATCAGTTTAGCAGTGATTGTACTCTTCATTCATACCTTTGATGGTAAACGTAACAATATTTAGTTTAAGATCCTGAAATTCAAAGAAAGTTAATAGTGGATGTTTTTTGCATCTTCACATGCAGCAAGGCACAAGTTCTAAGCAGCATGTTTTCAATCAATGCTTGTAGTGTCCTACTGCTCTTGAATGATTGCTTTATTGACAAGTTAGGGTTTGAAAATAAATTGAGAGCGAAGCACAATAAAAAGGGTATCCTGAGGTGATAGAGCATTATTTTGTAAATTCTATATTTTTATATAATATCATTTTTCATAGGTATATTGAGTGACATAGAATTATATTAGACTATTTTTGTCTAATAATAATTGCATATTTGATGTGTTTTTTAATGTTAGATATTGGTTTTTATTTGTTTGCTTTAGACCAGGTTTTGTATTAATGATCATCATGAGAATGGATTGAATTGATGATGTAGAATTTTTATCAAACCAATTTTCTATATATTGCATTTGTTTAAGCTGTAAGAATTGAGCTTAATTAAAAGAGTGGTGAACTGCTGAAAATTTCCAAATTAAGATGTCCTCTTCTAGGGATCTTGAAGTGAACATTCTAAATGATTTGGAAACTATTGGACTCTTGGCATTATTTGTATTTCATCGTAAAAAGTTCTCATAAAATGATACAGTAAACGTCAACATGAATTTGGCAGAGAATAAATGTTGATGGGGTAGTGTAGCTAGGGGGGGGGGGGGGGGGGCTAGATCTATTTTATACTAAAATTTTGACCTATGCTAAAGATATTGACAGGTAGGGTGTGTAATCTAATATATTTTGGACCGCTGTAGGGAGTGATATTTTCCCCAGGGGTTATAGTTTTAATGAAGCACCCAGCGCTGAGGGAAAATTATCCCTTGCAGACTAAAAATATATTTTACATTCCATCCAGTCAATATTTGTTATATTAGATAGCCTTGATTTGTCATACTAAATTGATGGTAATTGTGATCTCATGCCTTGTTTTCTTTCTCAAGCCACTAGGCTTGCATTGTAAAATGTGTGCGGCTATGACAATGCAAACCATGGGTACACGCTGGTGTGCGCACACTGCGCAGGATGAGGTATAAGGATAAAATATAAGGATAAGGGATGAAGCAAAAATATACTTGTTTAACCGGGTCGTCAATATAACATTGAAAATTGACCTGGAGTGAAACATGCTAATTAGGATCCTTGCTCGATATCACATGACGAGCTTTGGACCAATCACAACTTTGCTTTTGTAAGAACTATCTAATTTATTCAAATGATTGATTTGACATTGCCTCAATATGGCCATGAATACAGTATACCGTATGCATACGCTTGTCAAAGTATTATACTATGGGCAAGTGAATGCAGGTAGGTGTTAAAGGAAAAAAGGTCTCAAACTTTTCTTCAAAAATGTGTAATTTTGATATCACAATTGCAAGTGACATTCCACATTATTTAAGGGTAAGCGTGCAAGAATTTTTTTTTTATTTTTTTAATCGTATACATGTAATATACCCACACACAAACATGTACTCTACAACATTTTAAAATGTACTTGTTTATCAGAGCTTGGAGCTTTTCAGAGGCATTTGTCTATTCACTGAAGACATCAACATGCTAAATAATTTCCTTTTATTAAATCGTTTATGAATGTTTCTTACAACCTTATTTATATATTCATTCTTGTCATTTGGTAAACTAAAGTTTAGATTGGTCCTAGAAATAATATTTTTGTGAATAAAACTTTTCTTTTTTTAAATTTTTAGTACCGGTATTAACAATACTATAAGGGTACTTGTATGGCTATCAATATTCTGTTTTTATTGTTATTATGTTATTTTTATGATGATATGAATAATAGCATGACATTATATTAATGTTGTTTGAAGCATAGGATTTGACTGTAATCTCCATCACATATTCATGCTGTTTTCACTGTATTTAGACATGTAAATTGATGTATTAATGATTATAAAGGTCATTCACCACCCAGGTGTTAAATGGGTACCGGTAGAAAGGAATTACTTCAATGCTGTGAGCACCAAAATTGGTAGGCTAGCAGAGCCGGAGTATTGTTGGAGCGCCTTGATCACCTTGCGCGGTGGATATGTGCACTATATTAATATCCATCATCATCATCATCATTAATGAATAACCCTAATAGCCATAGATACAAGTAATTTCATAGGGGTTTTGTACCAGTTTCCCACCCATGTATTCTTGCTTTCCGCATCTTTTCAACTGATTGATTTTTCATGTTAATAAATTAATAAATAGTACATGGGCCTTTAAATCTTTAAAGTAGAAAGGCAGTAGAGTATTACATTGACTACAGGTTTGTACAGACTCTACCGTCCTTCTGCCTGTGTTGTCATGTATAATTGTTAAATTCTACATTGTAATATGATGTCACTTTTAATTTATAGTGCAGGTCACAAAGCACCGTCATATAACAAAAAGTCAATATATAGGACCTATGTTATATAATTATGTATACAACTGTAGATCAGCAATTCTGTGTGTGATTTGACATTGAAAAATGTGATGAAATTATTTTATGCATATTTAACCTACTATGTGTCTTATGTTGCAACATGCTCGTTTGTGGTATCATTGGTTAAGTAATGCTGACTGTAATATATATACTGTTTTTAGCATGGAGGAATATTTGAGGAGAAAGATTGTCTTTCGTTCATACAAATTTATAATACCAATTGTTCTCATAGTTGTGTCATTGCTCAGAATAGCTGTTGAAAAGCGGTTTAAACTCCTAGAGGATTTTTTTTATGGCAATTTATTATTTTAAGGTCTGATTTAAATTACATTTCTAAATGTTTTGGATGGCATGAGAGAAGCATGCTGGTACAAAAATTGCAAAACAAAGTGGATAATTGAAGGTAATCTTATGTTCTGGTATAAAGGATGGAAAACAACATTCTTCAGAAATCAAACCAAACCCTTTTTTATTCATGATCACAAATAAATGGTATCTAACGTAACGTATTGGTAATAAATGTGGAAGAGTAATGAGCGAATGAAAATAAGGAAATTAAGCTAGTACATTGAAGCGTTTCGTACAAATGACTGCATGTTTGGTCCATTGGCAGGGTTGGGTATCTGAATCAGCAGAAAAGCCTGGATTGAAGATGAATATCTTCTCATCAAGTCCTTGAAATCAGTGTGTACCGGTAGTTGGTCGTGTTTTCTATTCACGCTCTTTTGTTTTGCTCTGACAAGTGTGAAGCAGTGTGACAGCTAATTTTGTGGACAAATTTGACTGTAGACGTTATATGAAAGCAATAATTTATTGTAGCTTTTACTGTAGAATCAAGATAAAGTACTGTATACTGTATATGAGTTGACATGTTTATAGGTGGTTTTAAAGTTTTTGATAGGCCAACTAAAAACCCATCTGAAAATGGAGCCATGATGATTTCATGATTGTGCAAGATATATACTTTTTTTAATCACAAATTTCATCCCTGGGCCCAAAACCATACATGTATATTTTGTTGGCTTAACTGCAGAATACCCCACACATTGTATTGTGGTTATGATTGGGGGGAAAGTCCTAACCAATGATCAGGTTTGGAGTGACGGGCAGGATTGGAGTTACGGGTAGGATCAGGGTTAGAGTTGAGGGCCCGGGTTGGGCCTGACTGGGATTATGCCCTAGGGTCTCCTGTAGTTGCTTCCAATTGACTTTTCTCTAGGCTTAACACTATCACGATTAAATTATGTAGTACATGGTAGAAGAAAATATTTCTGGATTTAACTTGTGGTCTTACATGGGGTTGTAAGATTTGAATTTTAGGGTCTTACTCCCTGTGTTATAGCTGATCTTCATATTTTCTTACATTGATAAATGTATGTATGATTTAATCACTGCTAAAAAGGCAATTGTGATATGTATGCCAAAATATATAATATATTGTACTCTACCTTGCACCATTGTACGTGCATGTAGTGTAAGTTTTTGTGATGACAAGAATGAGAAGTTTAAACAGAAACTCCACCCAGCTGACTATAGCATTCTTCTGCAACTTCACACCAACATAGGAACTCGTAAAATGTGAAAGTTATTTATAGTTACAATTCTTTCATGAAGTAATCAATTTTGGTTTTTGACTAAATAAATAAGATAACTTCTCATTTTAGAAGCGAAATTCATCTAATACAGGCAAGGAAGAAAACAAGCAAACAATTCTATCTGCTTGCTATGACAATGTACTTGTGAATTAAACTTAAATGAGATGGTTCTTTGCATTTCTTTTATAACTATATACATGCAGCTACCTGCACTAAGCTGAACATTACCAAGGTTTGGTATTGTAAAGTGTTAAATAGAAATGTAGTGAATGATTATCTATTTATATGTCCGTTACTTTCTTTTGAATTCACTTATGATAATGTAGTATGTTTAGGTGTTCTTGTTTTATTACTGAAACGGGAGGCTGAGCAATAAAAAAAACACAAATGATATATATATATATATATATTGTATATCCTGTATGTTTTTGTACACCGTTTGAAGATATACCGGGTATATAAAAAGACAATGTACATGTCGGTCCATTATTATGATGTGAATTATACCAATGTGTAAAGCTTTGAAATACATGTAGAAATGAATAGTGTGAAAATAGTCATTATGACATGAATAAAAAGGTATGACTTACTCAATATCTACATTGTATTTTGTGCCCACAAACCCTATACAGCCAGAAAACATATCACTTGACAATATTGTTCTCTTTTTGATGTCATTTAATTGCAAATCTCTTTTTATAAAAAACAATTGTATTCTCAGAAACTAGCTGTTTTGACTTTTCTCATCTATGGTACATTTTATTTTCAAATATACATTAGTGTGGAAGATAAAGGCCTTTTACCAACAATCAAAACAAGGGAGAAGAATAATTGACAGCTTGTATAGTTAGTACATATGCCTATGTTACAAAGAACACAAATCATGCCGGTATCACAGACGAATTACCCTACTTACAAAGAACTATAATGACAAAAAATAGAGACAAGAAATTCTTATAGAACAAAAATGAAAAGTACAAACACAGTATATTATGGCAAATAGTGTTACCCCAAAAAAATTAAAATAAATACATAGGAGATGGTGTTTGAGCAAGATTGGTTAAAGCCCTGCTTGAATACATGACACCAACTCAACATCATACTAACAACAGCCATTCAAAGAATCAGATTGTAATCATACTATATTATAAGCTCATTAACTTCATGAAACTGTCTGGTAAAATTCGACTTTGCATTATTCACTTATTTATATCCAACACATTTCTGCAAGTATATTATCCTTATTCTCATTATTAACTTCAGTTTGGATGATTTCATAGGGAATCTGACACAAGAGTCTACAAGTACATCCATCAAAAAATAATTTTGCGATAATTATTAATTCTATTAATTTAGTAGAGACTAACAAGTACTTTGCTAGGATTATGTGCACATCTACACTGTATATCAACAAACAGGTAACACAAAAGAAACATGCTGGCATTCTTGGTAATCCCTGGGTGGAGGATGCAACCCAGTGGTATGCTCTGTTGCTAGGGTGGAATGCCTTGTTGCTGAGGAGGTAGACTTTGTTGCTGGGGTTGTAGGCCATGTTGCTGTGGTGTCAGCCCCTGTTGGGGGAGTACATGACCTGGGTGGGGTAGCAACCCCTGAGGTCGTGGTGGCATTCCTTGTTGCTGAATTGGTACTGCCTGCGGTTGAGGTGGCACGCCTTGTTGTTGAGGTGGTACCCCTTGTAGTAGTGGTAGAGATGGTTGAAGTGGTAGTGGTGGTCCTTGCATCATCTGTTGTGGGAGGTATGTGGCTCCAGGTTGTAGCTGTATAAGGGGAAGCCCCCTGGTGAGATTAGATGGGGGTGGAGGGGGCACAGGGGGTGGGAGGCCGCCAGCAGAGCAGGTGGGACAAAGCCAATTTCCTATGACAAAAGGAGGAAGAGAAAAGGAGAGCAAAACTTGAAATTAAGCCAAATTAAAAACCTCAATGTTGGGCCAAATTTTTTAAACTCTTACAGTTTTTGTTGAAAATCTGGCATGTTTTCAAGTTTCTTCATCAATCAACCCTAGTCCATTAAAAAAAGATTACAAGATCTGGGCAAATTTATGAAAATTGGGGCAAAAAAAAAAACAATTTTGAAACAAAATTTTCAAAGGTTTAGTTCAGCATTTTTTAATTTGTTTCAAATCTTTATTTTTTTTAATGATCTGTCTGGCTAAATACAACCCTACTTCATCAAAAGAGGGTATATAATATGGTGGTGGTGGTGGTTATTTTCCTGACTGCTAAGAAAGCATAAATGCTTCTATTTAAGCAACCAGTCAAATAACATGAAAATTGGAAAAACATGATGTTTTTGTGGACAAAAACTGCCGTAATGGCCGCCTTGCTAAAGCCAGGGTAATAATCGGCGCAGCGCCAGAAGCATCGCAATGTGACGGACATGTGCGCTATATAAAAAGCCACCATTATTATTATTATTATTATTAAGAGATTGGTTAAGCATTTCTGACAAAAAGTCGAAATTTACAATAAAGCCTATTTTCAAATTAAATTAAATTGACAACGGTTTGGGAAGAAAAAAAAAAGACCAGGAAAAATGACAATATTTACCTGTTGGTATATCTGTGAGTCCAACACAGAATGTATGGTAGCCTCTATCACACTTATCACAAAACATCATCTTATCCTGCACACAATAACAAAGAAGAAAAACAAACAAAATGGATCAATAAAATGTATGGTACAAAATGATTGTAAGAAACCTGATAGCTCATAGTTCATGATACAGGCATTCACTTTCCTAAGATAATCAAAATGGCTAAAGTTCAAAATCAATCGAACCAATACTGAGAAAGCTATGAATGTTTGAAATATGAGATCACTAAGTCCATGTGAATCTCAAACTGGCATTTTGGTCAGAGGATTGTGACATAGTAGCAGATAACTCTCCCATTAATATTAATCAAATATCATTAATCTCTGTGTTCCTCCTAATTTCCTTTTTCCTTGGAGCAGTACTCAAAATATATCATGGATAGCAAATTGTTATAGGTCCTCTAAAAAGAAAAGACCCTCTTGAGTCATAGATTTTTGAGAAAAAAATTAGATTTTAGTAATTTTATGTGTTGGAACAAATGGGAAAGTTGTACGAAAGTATATCACAGAAGTGATCACTGATTCAGCCGATTTGAAGAGCTCATACCCATAGTGATTATATCTTTTAAAAAACTGTAACTTTGCCATCAATTCAATGGGGGGGCTTGAGAATAAGTTGTTCGGCAAGCCGCCCCCCCCCCCCCCCCCTCCCCTCCCCCATGCCTTGGGTATGTTCATTGCTCTAAAGCCCATTGCCACACTATACAATCCTATTACGATCCAGTTTTAAAGAAATCATGGTTGCATTATATATGAAGATCTAAACAAATTTCATCTTCTTGGTTTAGATTTGGCATGATGAAATGAATACTAATATCTGGATTGTTAGTACATTTGAACCTTCTAGTCAGAATAAAAGTCAAATTGGCTTTAAATCAAAGACAACTGCACTACTAGCCTGTCATCACTAGAATTCTAAGCCGATGTTTATAGCATTTTCTTCTACACAGGAAGCATGTGAGCCCCAGTAATATGCACTTTATGGTTCATATTACTATTCAGAACTTTGATCATTAACATTTTGCATGTTTGAATATCTGCATTAAAAGCTGTTGCAAATTCTTCCCAAATGATGTTGTAGTCTATCTGACTTGAATTGACAACCTGGAAAATCATCTTACCTCATGAGTGGGGTCACCACACTGGGAACAGGTCTTGCATTCCATACACTGCCAGGGATAGGTCTTAATGGTTGCTACCAGCTCATCATTCATCTCCAGGCATGAGGGGTGACCTACGGTGGTTGGAAAACAATATGACATGAGAGGACATTATATCATGAGAGGACATCTTCATGTACAAAAGAGGGTATCGCACAATTTTATTCACAGGTGCTGGTAGAGGTGGTGTGATCGAGTGGTTTAAAAACTTGCCAAAGGACACATTAATCTTCATTTGCTACTCTCCACCCAGGTCTTAAATGGGTATCGGTATGAAGGACTTCCTTGAATATTGTGATTTTGCTGCAGCTCATATCTAAACAAGCCCTTAACACACATGAAGAAAAGAGGAGAACAAGGTACCACAAACAAATATATAATTATAACAAAACAAAATAGGAAGCTTAAGAAGGCTTAAAAGTCGTACATACCACTATTATCACACTGTGAGCAATGAACCAGGTTCTCAGGAACTCCTTTGGTATTGCTGCGTCTATCTTTCAAACATAGGCCACAAATAGCAGTGGGTTTGATCTTAGGCTGTAGGGAGAGAGAGAGAGAGAACAACAACAATTATTAAATGAGTGACACTTTCAAATGGACAGTGCACTAAAATTCAAAACAGTTCAGTTTATTCATACCAATTCCATCAAAAAATGATTTGTATAATACTTGAATACAAGTATCAACACAAGCCAGCAAAACCTAACATGTTAGGAAAAGGAAGACTGAAATGATAAAAGAAAAGAGGAAGAAAATCAGATACATACATTCAGAGAGAGTCATGTATTCACACTTGTTAAGTAAGAGATGCTGAACATTATAACCCCTTGTAGTTTTTGTTTAAAACAATGTATTTTACTAATTTTTATGAAATATTCCCAGATATTTTATCTTGAGGAATTATTTATGTTTTTGTGTATTCATTAATTTCTAACTTGTATTCACGTTTGTTCATTCATGAGGAATTAATAATAATATTCCGCTTATATAGCGCTTAATACAAATGTATCTAAGCGCTTTACAGATATACTATTACCCCGGTCATTAGAATTATTTATGTATTTACCATGGACAGTTATAAAAAAAGAAAATGAAAAAATTGCTTCTCTTTTGTTGGTATTCACATTCATTCATTGTACATTTTGACTTGTCTTAGATTATGAAACAGAGAAAGATAAGAATAACTGGTGAACTTAGAGGAGGCAGAGTTGATTCATTTTAGACAAACTGTGATAGGTTATACCTGATATGGTCTTGGTGGAGTGGGTACCACAGCTTCCATACTCTGCTGCAGTGCTTCAGGCCCAGGTAATCTCACCATGTCACTGTCCCCACTCCCACCAGACTCTGGCCCAGGCTGGACCACGATGGGCCCTGCTCGAGGCCTCAGGATAGTAGGCGCAGAGGATGGCGACCGAGACGTTGCAGGGGTTGAACTCGCAGGAGGCGGCTGCTGCTGCTGTTGTTGCTGCTGAGGTGGCTGTTGTTGTTGCTGTCGTGGTTGTTGCCGTTGTGGATGCTGCTTCTGTTGCTGGTGCTGGACTGGTTGGTTGAGTAACTGTTGCAGCCGTTGTTCTTGCTGTTGCCGCTGCTGTTGATCATTTTGTGGTTGATTTGTGAAGATTCTGCTCTTGACCTTATCCTTCTCATCATTCTTGGTAAATTCCTATCCGTACACAATGATCAAAACAAGAGATTAAATGCCGGAATATCCGTTCATCTTGTCTCTTTTTTCATTTGTGTTTAATAAACAAACTTGGTTAACACCAACAAACACCAACAAAATTAAAAACCTAAAAACAAATATCACAACCCTCAAATTGACAAGACATTGACATATTTAGACAAATATTGTTCATCCAATTGAAAATGGCAAACGACAATTGTAAGATTTTCATTTCCTAGCAGTATTTTAATTTAAGTAAAAGACTTTACAGTTTAATAATGCAGCTGTGTTGCTGATTTAAAAACATAAAGCTACTTTATAATAACTGTTACCCTAAATAGGCTGGGTTAGTATGGTGTATTTTCACCTGGAGGGGGGGGGGGGGGAGATTCATGGCCCTATTAGGGATGAGCATCCCTCATATGATAATGTTGGGTACTTACAGCCATGATATCTAAATCATCGTCTCCTTCTTCCTCCTCAACTTCAGGACCATAGTCCGTCTTTCTCCTGATTGCCATTGGACCATAGATAGCAGTGTTCAATGGCAGATAATTCAGTTCATCAGCCGAGTAACTAAGACAAGAACAATATGACAATAAGCATAACGCCAAATAAATAAATCATATACATGTATATGAATGATATTAATCCAGGTTGCATCTTGGATGGGTAAACATGATTAGAAATGGTTAAGAAATAGTTGATTTCTGACACTTTGAAGAAATGTTGGAGTAATTAGATACACAAGATACTAATTTGCTATCAGTTTGACTAGGCTATGAAATGCCCTCATCTCTTCCTGAGACAGCATGATACGTCACTCTTGATATCATATACACTGTATGCACTGGACTCTAGATGGAATGAATGTAGTCATTAAGGATAGAACTTGCAGATAGACAAAGCAGGAGGAGATTATGGGAGTTCGTTCGTTCGTTCGTGTCTCCTTAGATCAAGATTAATGTATCTTGATCTTTGGAGTAGTTGCTACAAGCGGCCGTGTCAGACACGTTGCCCTGGGTGCGAGATAGGACTCTTGTAGCATGCCCCCATTTAAAACAATTATACAATAACAATTAACATTACATTTAATTAAAAGAATGAAACTATTAAAATTACTCTCATGTTACGAGGAAAAATATTATATACAGCGCTCAAAATACACGGGGGCGGTGGGCGATTCACCCCCGTGAGCTCCATAATCGCCCCCGTCAGGTTGCTCACGGGGGCGATTGCAAAATTAAAAATCGCCCCCGTGGAATTATAAAATAAAGATTATCTTTTCTGATATAACTTTAACACAATATTGAGTATCAATTTTCAAACCTTAAACCAATGAAATGAAACTTAGATGGCGCTTTCTCTTCCATCTCTATGAGTATTACCGATAAAAACAACGGAAGCTCGCAGTGTAGCTAATGCGGCCGTCAGCAGTGGTTATACTGCCCCGGTAGTACCGGTATGCACGCTGACGCCCAATATCTGCTGAAGCTGGAGACGGTCGCGCAAGGACTGAAACATGGAGAAGTTTTTCGTTGTGCAAAGTGTGAATCCTCTGAAATCTGGTTATTCTTAAAGATCAGCAAATAATGTAACTCTACCAGTAAATCAATATTGAGAAGAAGATCAGCAAAGATGTTACAGGGGCGGATCTAGGCGGTTTAGGGGTTTACCCCCCCCCCCCCTTGGGATTCCAAGTGAAAATGTGATGTGCATTGAAAACTGCTATCATGTGTCCAGACGTACACAGTAGATGCCAGGAAAACATCACTAACGGGGGTTCAAAGTAGCAACAACAGAAATCGCCTCGCCGCTATGCGGCTCGTTGACGATGCTGCACATCGTATTCGGGTTACCCCCCCCCCCCCACCCTTAGCAAAAAGCTAAATCCGCCCCTGTGTTTTGGAAGGATATGGTACAGACTAAAAGTAAAGGAAGAATGTAAAAAAGGTTGCTCCGAATGATGAGGACATTATGTGCAGAACGGGAAGAAATGGAGAGAATGTCATCACGAGGAAGTCAATAACAGCTATATGTAACAAGTAAATTTCAGAGGGAAAATGCCGAAATACCAAGGAATTTAGGAGTTTCATGGATACCGATTCAATGGAAATTTGTTTTAAAATAAGAGCCCCCGTCAGCACTAAAAGAGCCCCCGTGAGAAGGCTCACAGGGGCTCTTTGTTTTTGGAAAGAGCCCCCGTGGACAAAAAATTAATTTGAGCCCTGATTATATATATATATATATATATATATATGAATCAAATGATTTGGTCGATCCAGTTCGATGGCACAAACACGGCACTACTGGACAGAGATCCTAACAATTACAGAGCTTGGTCTTGTTGCTCTGTTCACCAGCAGTTTGAGTATATGGAATCCCGTGGCACATTACTCACAAGAGTTCTAACAAGCCAAGCTTACACAGAGCCTATTATGGGAGTACCCTGATTCCAGGGAGTTTCATCCTCCCTCCTTACTTTCCTCACTCATTACTTTGTACGATACTTATTTCAAGGTACATTATAAATAGCGTTTAGTTATAATTAAATCAATTTGGGAGCTCAATTCTCCATAGTCCATTCTACTGTTTCAGCTTCTCTGTCTGTGTAAAACTTGATAATAAAACATCAGAGTTAGAAGGGGTTTAACTCTGTTTTAAAGGACATGGGTTAACATTCTTATGGATCTCAGCAAACATTATAGCACTTTCATAATCAGACTTACTATCTGCAGTAGTCTTGGTATTGGCCAGGGATAACGGCTACAGGGTAGGCACCAATCTTTGTATCCTCTTTACTCAACTTCTTCATCTTTGCTTGAGGCATGTGAAGTTGCTGAAAATAGAAATTAAACTTAATATACATATTTGATACACCACATAATCCTATAAAAATGATGCTCTAGAACAACTGTATTTGTAAGAATTATGATGATACCCACTCACACCAGCATTGTGTGTTATAAAATAATTAAGATACCCTCTATTGATTCTCAAATCTTTCAAACACTACTGTAAAAAACTCATGAGAATGCACTCAAATCAGCGTTTAAGTGACTATTATTACCACCTGCATATCATTAAAATACAGTCAACCTTGCTTAAGTTGACCTTGTCTTTGTTGACCTTTGACGGATGAGCTTTTTAGTATTTAAGTACATGAAATTCTATTTATCTTTCTCCCCATCAAGAATGTGTATGGACAAATTACTTTCATGAGTGTGATGGTGATCTTCTGAATCTCTCATCCCAATAAACAGCAAATTGATGACAAGGGTATGCCTCATTCCCAACAAACAAGCACATGTTTGCAAGTATGAAGTTTTTCTTGCTTGATTAACAAGTTAGTGTTCCTTTAAGTTTTTTAAATTTCTACCATTACTATCAAGAGAGGGAGAGAGGCAAGTACGGGAAAGAGAGAGGGAGAGAGAAGAACGGAGAAGCTAGCACCAGCAAGTCTGGAGAACAGGGGTGTATTGTGTAAACAAAATTGGTGTATGGCCCATGCTTTTGACAGTAATTGATTTAACATTGCGATGTAAATTCCTTTAAGTGTTTTTTCTACGAAACTGTTATGGGAATATGATCGACTTGAACGATTATTTGACTTAAAAAACGACCTATACAGAAGATTAACAAAAGTAAGTCTATGAAGAAATATTGGGACTTTTTATTATCATCAACTTAAGAGGTTATTCGACACACGCCACATCTAATTGCGAGGTTAACTGTATTATCAATTGATCTCACCAAAGTTGTAAAAAATTACTTTCAAAATTTAAATCAGAAACTCTTTACAGACTGTGTACAGACTCACTCACCATGGTTTGTAGGTCAAAGTAGTACTGTCTCTCCTCTCTCTTCTCTCTCATCAAGAGTGCATTGAACTCAGCAGCTTGTTTAGCAGCTTTCTTGATGTATGCTTTGATCTTACTTGCATCCATGGTTGGCTGATCAGAAGTAAAAAATAAATTAAAAGCACCATAACTATACTGAATGGGGCATCTATCAACCTAAACTTGAAACACACTCTTCAGAAAGATACCATTATACCACTTATAATAACACAGAAGAAAGAAAAAATAGTGAAGCATGTCCACATGAAAAATCTATATATTTTGATATTAAGCAAAGTTTTAAACTGTTTCCAACTTCATGAGCAACTGCAAGAATTTAGTATTCACAAAATCTATAGCAAGTTTATTTTCTTGCAAAGGGTGCATTTCTGACACTACTTCATTATAAGAACCATCTTGTTAACATTAGCAGGTGTAAACTAACTCTATAGAAGTAACAATTTAATATGTATTACACACGCTCCAGCAACAATTCTCCAGTAATTTCCAAATGATAACCAAATTTGCAAGTCTATCCTTCCACCTAACCCTACATGTGTAAATATAAAACCAATCTATCTTTGGATTCAACCCTATAATACCTAATCCTAGCCCTAACCCTGAATATAAAACCAGTCTATCCTGTGGATCCAACCCTAATCCTAGCTCTAACCCGGAATATAATCCAGTCTATCTTTGGTTCCAACTCTAATCCAAGCCCTAACCCCTTAATGTAAAACCAGTCTATCCTTCCATCCAACCCTATACCTAATCCTAGCCTTGAGCTCATCAAGACGGCCCCGAAATGAAGGATCTGCCACATATTGAATTAATAACAATAAGTTTGTTTTATCAGTAGATAATTTGACACACGTACAACTGCTGCAACCTAGTTTGCTTATGTCCTATTTGTTTGAAATAATTGAGTTGCTTTTTCTTGTGTTTGATGAAATAAATAAAAATACATTAAATTACATAATAAAAAAGTATTCTTTAAAAAAATCCTTAGCAGAGGGTATTTTTTCAATAGTGACACTACACATTAACAGGCACTGGCTAACAATGATAGATTTAAATTCATCTGGCATATGCTGCATATGGGCTTTATTGTTGTATCAAAACTTAAGATTTGGCCACACTTTCAATCAAGTTATCTTAATACCGCTTCGTATCCTTTGTGCTGGTTGCTGATGTTCTGCCTCTGTTTTTCCTGGATGACTCTGGCATACTCTGTGTACCTGTTGGTATAGTCCTTCATCATCAGGTCATACACCTCGTCTCCACGTAGGGCTGTCAGACCTGCACAGAAACACACATGTTGAGCGATCCAGAGATTTATAGTTTGAAATTCAATAGCATTAATTTGTATATAAATTACAATAGCAGTCCCTGTATTAATTGAGCTGTTTTGCACTGATTTGCTTACCCAGAAAATAGTATCATTACAAACTTGGGAGGAATACCGATCACAAACCTCCTTGTACATGTAAAATATGAAATTCTCACGCAATTAAATTAAAGGTAAAGATCAGTATTGGAAACGCCCCAATTTCAAAAAATGAAATGGAAGCTCTCATTACCAATCATGTGAAAGAATATGTTTTGACTAATACATGATGATAAAAAATTTGCCGGGAAACCGCCTACCAATTCATATATTTGGTAAATTTGTTTCTCTCATGGTCTGTGAGAGATATAGGGTAGTCCCATATACATCTTTCTGTGTATAGTGCTTGTAACTTTACGAAGAATGGGCCAAATTTCTTATCATTTTGATGATTCCAGAACCTTGCAGATGCTAGATGCTAGATGATCAACCTTTTCTGATCGATTCCACAACGTTTCTTTCACAATGCAATCGCATGACCATAACTGGTCTTTACCTTTAAATTGATATTTAAAAAGTCTGAAAACAATGTCATTAAAATGCAAACTATTTTCATCTTTGCAAGGATAAGGACTGATTACAGTATCATTTAAACAGCTTCATGATATGTGTCTGTGCTGATAGACAAATGCTTTGGCAACAAGTATTCCACACCCAAGATCATAACTTCAACACTGAAACCAAAGCTACATGTCCCTAAGGATGTTGACTCCACCAACATATTCAAACCAATTTTTCTATCTTTTGAGCAATCTATATGCCTTCTAGAAGGTGCTGCCTACTAGGATGTCACTTTCCAATCTCTTCCCTGGTCTTCCTTGCCCATTTGTTTCAACAACTGTCTCCATGAGTAAGCGTTTAGTGAAGCGTACGCTGTTCATTCTGGAAACATGACCGAACCAGGTCAGTTGGGCTTTAGTAATGCGTGCGGGATTAGCTTCAGTGGAAATTTTCAATTGGAGATTCTGGCCAGGACTTCTTCATTTCTAATATTATCTTTCCAAGTGATGTTGAGAATCTTCTGAAAGCAGCGCATCTCAAAGGCTTACAGTTTCTTTGGGTCATTCATTGTGATGGTCCATGCCTCTGAGCCGTACAAGAGTATCGGGTAGAAAAGAGCATTGTCAAGACGTAGTTTGGTGGTTAGTGAAATGTCCTTATCATTCCAGGCCTTCTGCAGCTTCCCTAGAGCAACAAATGCTAGCATCAGTCTGTTTTTAATTGTCATTTGAGGGCGTTAGTGTTTCTCCTAGACCTGTATTTGATTACATGTAAATGAAATCCTAACCCCAATCACAACCTAATTCATTTCTATTAAAGCAGAAAAAAATTGGAGAAACAGAATGGCAAAAGTTTTCAATGAAACAGACAAGTAGTAAGCAAGTTATGAATGTTTAAAATATGAGATCACCAATACAATGGAAATTTCAAATTGGCAATTTTGTCAATGGATTTTGAAAGTAATTTTTTACAACTTTGATGGGAGCAGAAAATTTGTTGAAAAAACAGAAATCAATACTATTTTTGTGCATGACAAATGGGAGAGTTGTCCATGATGTACATGCACACAAATAGTATTGATTTCTGTTTTTTCAACAAAGTTTCTGCTCCATCAAAGTTGTAAAAAAATACTTTCAAAATTTAAATCAGTAATCAAAATATACTATATAGGTCCGGCAGAAAGAAAAGACCCTCCTGAGTCAACATTTTGAGGAAAAAAAAATACATTTTAGTTAGTATGTGTATTGAAACATATGGGAAACTTGTCCAGCACAAAATCACTGTGCATTACCAGTTCAGCCAATTTTAAGTGCTCTTATGTATGGTGATTACAACTTTAAAAATACATGCTTTTTTTTTAGTCCGATTACATCCAAACTTTCACCATTGTACTTCTTCTACTATCTATTACATTAGTTTACTATTAAAATTAGATTTCCCTTTAATTCTATATCTCTAATAAAATAATGCCAGGAGCGATTATTATCAACAACAAAAAAAAGGGAACACCTACCAAGAGTGACCTGTTCCTCTGTAACCACACCTCTCTCTCTGAGAAACTCTTTCTCCTTGATGTCCATGACCCTTCTCTCGAGATCTGAGATTTATTGAGAGGAATTTAATAAAAACACTTTATAAATACAATAATGTCACAAACAACATCTTTGTTATTTTGGGGGCTATCAACAACAAAAATAGAACTAGAATTTAAATCGTCACGAGGACGATTAAGGTGGTCTGTCTTCAAGTCTTATGATAGATTATAATATTTACTTTATTGAGAAAGGGATAAGTTATATAGACATGTAAACAATGATGATCGTCATGATGATGATGATGATGATCTTGATAGTAATGGTGATGACGATGATGATGATGATGATGATCATGATGATGTTGATGATTATCATCAACAGACCATGATGACATCAGACTGACAAAAATGAGAGAACATTTAGATAGTATATAGTCACAGCTACAACATACTCAAAAATCAACAAAAATCAAGCCGAAATAACGGCGATATTGCTCGCAAAAGACAAGATTTTGTAGAATCCAGATTTGAGAAAAAGTCATCTCCCATAAGGATTGCACGCAAAAAATATTGGATCAAGTGATAATAGGGTAATAATAAAGTAAATATGGTTGTTTATTACATTATTTACGATTGTACGTGTTTTAATATTGAAAGGAGATGGTACAGTGAAAGGTCAAAAAGAAAAAAAAGTGAAGAAAACAAATTGTTGGAGACGCCCGGACTCGAACCAGGGACCTCGAGGTCGGAAGTCAAGTGCGTTACGGATATACCAAAACATTTCCCATAGAGATTACAGGTAAACGGGAAATGGAATTCTCAAATCCCACTTTGCAAGTGAAATATGAGCATGATCCCGGCATCTGAATGAAAAATAAAGGGCACACTTATGATAGCTTATTGTCTCAGCTACAACATACTCAAAGCTCAGCGTAAATAAAGATAAAACGACGGAGATATTGCTCGCGAAAGACGAGAATGTAGAATCCAGTTTTGAGAAAAAGTCATGTCCCATAGAGAATACACGCAAAATGTGAAAAATTGACATGCCACCTTTAATCGCAAAAATACGCCATGATACCTTTGTCAAAATGAAATATTGTGTTGACTGCATTTGTAGAGAATTGTCTAAGCTAGATCATATCAAAATTTGGAAGAAAATTGATCATTGTTTACAGAGATACAGTCAATTTTCCAGAAATATGCTGACGTCATAATATGCAAATTGAAATTTTGAGTTTGGAGGCCATTATGATGACGTCGTGAGTTAATTGAGGGTCAAATGAGACATGAAATCATACCTCCAACTCATAATCTATTTAAATATGAAAGAAATTGGGGGTTATCTATCAATTCTGAAGAGTTAAAATGAATTTTGTATAGGCATGTTTTTGCCCATGTATTGTGGATACAGATAGCGCAGGTCGGCGCGTGCGTTCAACTTTGACAGCCGCTAATTGCGGTATTACTGGTCGGAAACAGATAAACAAGGTATCAAAATGCTTGGAAAAATGTAATAAATATGATAACAGAAAAAATTTGGCGATTCTATGTTGCAAAATGCCAGGACGCGCGGAAATGCGCGCGCAAATTTTGAAAATGCTTAAAATGGCCTGAAACGTATGCAAAATTAATTTAGAACGAATTTGACCATTTTAAAATTTTAATGCGCGCGTACGTGCGCGTCGAGGTGCGCGCGCAGAATTTTTTGACATTTTTTGTTGACCTTTGACCTGAAGTTGATGTATACCAAATATGGTTGATTTTTGATGACTCGTTATCGAGATATGATAATGACCTGATTTTTACAAAATGGCGCCTAGATGACGTCACGATGACCTAATGACCTGGAAAAAGTTGATTTAACTTGAAATCATAGGGCTTGATGACTGACAGAAATTTGAAGGAAATTGACCATGTCGATTTCGAGTGAACGTGTGTACAAAAAAGTGTACGGAAGAAATAAAAATAAATAAAGAATAAAGAATAAATAAAGAAAGAAAGAAAATTCTAGCGAAATCAATAGGTGATGTGTCGTTGACAGACCACCTAATAATAACATTTCACATCATCTGAAAAGCAGTGAACAGATTTGATTGGCCAAGTAGGGACTATGATTTTGTCTGCTGTCTGTCATGAATAGCTGTCACAATCTGCTGTTGATATCTGAAGTGGCTATTGTTCGCACGCTAAGAAAAATTAATACCTTGACAATTTTTCTTTGGAATAGATATGTGTCATAAGCCAGCACTTTTGTTCTTAAAATCACACCTTTCTCCAGGTAACTGATATTATTATCTATATAAGGCTTCCAAGCGGTACAATATATCAGTGTATTCAATATCTTTAGTGCAGTACCCGGATGACTGACTGAATATTGTTTCGCATTGCTCAGTCATCCGGGAACTTCAACTATTGATATCGATACCATATCGTTATCACACAAAAACAAAGCCATAATCACCAAGGTAAGTCAAATTTGGTTATTTTGCTAGTCAGAATAATAAAGATAATAATAATAATATTCTATGGCTTTGTTTTCATGTTATACAAGAATATATTGCTCTCGCTAAGACAATATTAGACTCATCTTTGACTCGTCCAATATTGTCATAGCTCGAGCAATATATATTTTGGAATAGATCTGTGTCATAAGCCAGCACTTTTGTTCTTAAAATCATACCTTTCTCCAGGTAACTGTTATTATTATCTATATAAGCCATCAAATATTATATAAATATCTAGGTATCAAACTCCCAACAATGGAAACATAGCAGTATTTAGATTGGTTGTCATGTTGGGATAGAATGCTCTAGCCAAACTTACTTGGGTACTTGCGCTTGAAGGACTTGACTCCAAGGAACTCACTGATCTGCTCCTGGACAAAGTACCACTCTCCAGGATTATCCTGTGGCCACTGGTACTCAAACACATTCTCTGCAGGGAATTGGCCCAAACTTTCAAAGCAAGGGAGAAACAAGTAACGTGGGAAATACCACCATTAAAATGCAGTGTATAAAGCAGATCTGTCCTTTTGAGTTGATAATACATCACAAATTCTCGCTACCCTAAATAGGTACGAAAATCTCGAAATTCGCGAGACGAGGTAATTTTCACTCTCTCGGGTCGTCACTACAACTTCCGGTATAGAGTCCCATCCCGCTGGCGCTACCGCCTGTGTTCGCTGTGCAGAGTTTTCACGCACGCTAAAATTGATGCCAATCAGTGTACTTTGTACAGATTATAATATGCAATGGAAAGCTTCGGGCAGAATTAGTGACTTTAGTACAAAAGGCCGTTAAACTCTACCGTGAAAGAGAGGGTTGTGATCACGAACGCCTGCACAGGAAGCTGTAATGTCGAAAAGCTATCCCATAATGCAATGCGCGTTTTCAGGATTTTCCCCGGATCTCGGCAGAATCGCTATTTGGGGTAGCGAGAATTCATGAAGCAAAATGGCTCACAAGAATATCATTGATTCTATGCAGTCATATACAGTATGTATCTTAACTCGTTTGCTTAAAGTACTACCGTACTAAAAAAAAATCACCCACCTGACTTTGTTCTCCCATTTGTATTAGCTTGGAAAGACCAGGTACATGAAACATATGATACAGCCGATATTTATTTGGAAACAAAATAGTTAAAACCTTCCATGTTGAGCAAGAAGTGAAGTACCACATGCCATTGATAATGGAATATAGCTCTACACATCGGACAGACAAAAAGAGCATTATGATGGCAGATGGCATTCCTCTATAGTTTAACATGTTTTGAAGTATAAAAAAAAAAAAAGATAAAAGAAAAAAGGAAACACTTACTCATCCCCACTCTGAACTGTAGGAGTGCTTGTCCTGGACCTCTTGGGACTGGCCTTTGGGCTTTCACATATCAGCTCTCTGACTCTCTTCACAGGCAGTGGACTTCCCTGAAGACTATCCCTGTAGTCCAGCTCACTGCTCTTGGCTGAAACAAAACTCTCCATGCTGCACTCGTCATAGATCTTGGGAACCTTGTCGATGTTGCTGTCATCACGATTATTTTTGGTGCCGAGGTCTGCCATGGAGTCCCGAGTGTTCCCATCTTCCAATTCCAGGATCTGGGTATCCATGAACTCTGGTTCCTGTTCCTCTTCAGCATCTTTTGAATCCTTTTCTGCGCTCTCTGCAGCGGCCACATCTGCATCACTCATGACCTCAGCAGCATCAACAATTTTATCAGGATCTTGTTTTTCCTGAAGTGGATCATCTTTCTTTGTTTCTTCTTGACTGAATTCTGAGACAAGAGACTTGCTGATTAAGTCAGCTACTACATTGACTGTGCTGCCCTCTAATGGGATTGATTCTTTGCTGCTTTCTACATTACCAGTTTCTTTTTGATGACTATCCAAATTTCCTTTACTGGAAGCCAATTCGTCACTAACTTGACCTCCTTCTTCATTGGTCTTGTCCTTATCTGTCTCATGTGTTTGCAATCCAGCTGGAAATTCTGTGAGACCTGCACTTTCATGTTTGTCACCTGGTTGATCCTCTGGTGTTACAGTGGTTTCTTGTGATGCAACCTCATTGGCATCTCTCACTTTGGGAGATCCAGTGCTTCCCACTTGCCCATCTCCAGTTGGTTTCTGGTCACCATCTGTTGTGTCCATCTCCTCCTGTTCAAACTCATCTTGGTTGCCATCACCTTGTCTTACAACGTCACCTGGAGTCTCCTCATCTTTATCGCCTGGAGCTGTTTCTTCTGATTGTCCTTGGCTTGCGAGATCAGTTTTGTTTTCATATGTAGATGATAAATCTGCACCTTGCATTACTGAATCATCTCCACAGACTTCCTGGTTACCTGGAGCACTTTGCTCATCCCTTCTCTTTTCTGACCCTTTGGCACTTTCCTCTTTTGGAAGGGGCAGTACTTCTTGACCTTTAGAAACCTCTCCTGCAGTACCATCTGACTCTCTTGTAACAACTTCCTGTTGTTGAGCTCCTTGATCCTGAGACTCACTCAAAGTTCCAGGTACACCTGTTCCTTGTCCTGTTGACTGTTCCATAGTCTCCAGTAGACATCCTTTTTCATGAGGTTCCTCAGTCTTACATTGTTCTTCAGGTGCTGACTGATCCTGACTGCTGCTTTCTACATCTGGACTCCTCTCACCCGGTGATAGAGCGACATGGGGGAATTCTGGGGTGGAGTCCATCTTCAAATCTGCAAAGGTAACGAAATGTAGAATGTACTATTTTAAAGAAAAACATGTAACTCTTATCAATTCAACGTTCAATGTTTTTAGAATATCCTGTACAGAATATTTCTTGCTTGTATTAGGGTGTCTGAACAATTTTTCAATTTTCCCTTTTGGATTTTGTTGTTGACAATATGGTTCGTTGTTTTAATTGTACATCCACATCTGTTCCGTTTGCCGAATGAATGCACAAACACGTACACACATGCAATCAGAATGCACACACGTCACATATTCAACGCTGGTCAGTATATATTGTGTATGAAGGCTTGCAACATGGTGAGCATGCTCAGGGTTTGCTTCACACCTGTGAACGCCACATGAGCTACAGAGCGTGAAATACATATAAGCATGTGCAGATTCTATGCCCTGTCACGCCTCCCCATTTTGCCAATTTAAAAAGTGGGGGGAGGGTATTTTCAAACTGTAATGGCTTGTGATCCCTTGGGGCTAGCAAAAAACAAGCCCATAGATAATGTCCTTATGACTGAACCTACTTATCGCTCAGGGGGTCATTTCTCAAAAGTAGGAAATCTCAGAGCTAGGATGGAAACGATGTTTAAATAGCTGTTTTGAGATTTTGATCAAGATATTTTTAGAGTTCCGAGATGACCTTTTTGGGGGAATATTTAGTAAAACCTGCTCCTTCATATGACACCTCATTTGTTGTGCATCGCCTTCAGGATAAAAAAGAAGAAAGGTTTGAATCTCAATTTGGTAATACTAACATTGAGTTTGACCAATTTTGCATGAGCGCGCAATGCATCTGACCTAGTCTAGACTGCATAGACTAGCGTAGACCGAAAGCTTCAGTCTCTGATATCGACGGTGGTTCCGCTGAGATCTCATATGGCTCCACCGACCGCCTCTATACATAGACTGAAGTACGGCCTATGCCGTACTAGTGGAACAAATGGTTCGGTTCGGCAGGACCGCGATGAATGAGATATGCCACAAGATTTTCGTTCTTTACATCCTCAAAAATGCACTTTTGCTGCAATATTACAATAGGCCAATAAAAATATAAAAAATAATAAACAAATATGGCTTTGACTTACAATAGCTTACTCATTTATATGATTAATCCAAGAAAGTCTCGTAGTCGACATGATTCGTTGTCATCCATCTTGGTTTTAATTAATGAATATTTCTTTTCGAATGTCCATTAGCTACGTACGAGTCAACCCAGTGATATATGAATATTCATAAACCCAATACGAAACGAGTGCTCTGATTGGCCATTCGCTCTGCTTTGGTAGGTTGACCCGGAAATATATCGGCCGGGTGATGTCATAGATTACTTTCACGGTTCAGAGAAAAAAATTGGATAAATCATATAGAGTAAAGGAGGGGTAATCGACCAGCTCCAGTTTTCGGCCGATCCGTTGGATGCATGATAAAATCCCTTTAAAATACATTGTATAATAGCTTAACACATATCCCACACATACCATACCATGCCAGAGTCACTGAAGAACCACATTTGCAATGGAAAATATATCCTAAAATATCGGCGGTCCCACTACCCAAATCTGAAAAATCGAGTATCTTACGCGTGTCTGTAAGAAATATGGGTACCATAAAATGAGCTTTATTTCAAGTATTTTTCAGATTTAGAGCCCGATTTTGTGTTAGTCGCAAGCTCAAAAGTATCTCATCGCATGTATTAAATCAATGCAGCCGAACACCGCGACGCACACACGACATGTCCGTCTAATTCAGATTCCAATTTCCGATCACCGCAGTGCTAGTTTTCAAAGAATCTATGGCAAACCGCGACCGCTAGCCGCTGCAAGTGGAAGCAGGTGCGCGTGTAACTCCGGGAAGCTCCAACACCGGCGCCGCAGGCGTCGGAGCTTCGGGTGGTTTTGTTGGTTTCTCGTGGTTTGCACGAGGTTGAGAAGGCTCTGTTTGTTCGATTCGTGCATATTCAGCGATTTCGAGCGTTCGGCGCTCGATAGCATGAATATTCATATTTTCTTCACCACTGCTGCGCATGCGTACGTTCTCATCGCTATTTTGAATCAACGCTGCGACATGGAAGAATCGTTGGTGTAGTACCCCGAATTAACCTTTTTTTCCCATCGAAGACTTCTTCAAATTATACATTCAAGTGATTGGAGTTGAGCCCCGAGGAGTCGTGCACCCTATGATGTAAAAATTGTAAGTACTCCCTTTGCAGATTTAACGATAATATCACCCAATCGGCTGTTTTACTAGCCCCCACGAGAAACCAACAAAACCACCCGAAGCTCCGACGCCTGCGGCGCCGGTGTTGGAGCTTCCCGGAGTTAGTGCGCGTGAAGCACCCGTAATGATCATCATCATCATCATAATGTGAATTATTTACATGAATTTAATGACGATCTGAGATTACGGTCGCTAAAAAGTGAAAAGAGAACACGAGTAAGATTACCTTGAATGAATGAAACAAGAAAATATCATTCAATGCAATGCAATCTCTCTCTGCTCTGGCCATCAACGCGTACGCGTGGGGCTGTACACAAGTTACAACACAGTTGGGAGCGGATCGGCGGCTCACGCTCGGTGCAAAATCATGTCCCGCAGAATTGCGGGGAATGAATTATTGATCTCCCTATTTGATTATCATTTTCTAATGTTATGATACAATACCTCATAATCTGAATTATATTTACCTTATGAGTTGTATCAGTTTTCACAGCCAAATGCCCCCGAAAGTGACGCTTTCTCTCAGTTTCTTTTGTTCCCGCAACCCGCTTGTCTCCGATATCCTCTGCGGTAGCTGTAAAAGAACAATTATAAAAGAAAATATTGGGGGAGGGGGATCAAAATGCACCTCCATGGGGGGGGGGGGGGGGGGAGGGGTGGGGGTCAGTCCAAGGAGGGAAGGAGAGGAGGAGGGGAATTGATCCGAAAGGGAGGAATATTAAATCAGAAATAAGAATAGAGGGAGGATATTTGTGTATTTTTTACGTAACAATTATACACCAATTACCTTAGCTTGGAGAAAAGGGTCAATCTGCTTTCTCCTTCTCATTCTTCGTCATTTCTTCTCCTTCTTTTTCTTCTTGGTTTTCTTGTTCTTCTCCTTCTTCCTCTTCTTCTTCTTCTCATTCTTCTTCTCATTCTTATATTATCCTTTTAATTTGTCCTTCTCTTTCTTCTCCCTTTTGTCATATCAAAGGATTTTCCTCCCATCGGCATACGACACTTGCCTGAATTTGACCACCTCTCTAAGTCGTTCCATAATGGCAGATCATAAAGATGATGAAAGACTGGATAGGTTCGCCTTTTACATGCCTTAACTGTTGATTGGTTGATTGATTTTTATTCGCCAAGCTTCCAACATACAACAATATACAATAATAAAAGATCAAACTTAAGTCAACTTGAACAGGATAACCCACGAAAGCTCGAGAGCTTATTTCCAGTGGGGTCCCCAGTGGGGTTGCACTTAATGAATCATAAATTACAGTTTAAATCAGCATTGATGTTTGAAATAAGTATAAGGTGATTGAAGAAAAAAAATGGAGCCAGTTGAGCATCCATCGAATCCTATCCAATTAGTATTACAAATTAGTGTTACTGATACATATTTTCAAGTGTAAATTATCATAGCTCAATAATTGATATTTTACCCAGGGGAATGGGTATTTCATTTCACCAGAATCACATACAGATCAAAGAAAATAGCCAATAACTTACATATTGTATTATCGTCGTATAAAAACCATGCTGTTCATAGATACCCCACTCGACAATCCGATGAGTTTCACTTACCTCTTTTGAGAACATGTTCTGCACAGAACACGTTCATTTTTGAAGGCCCTAAATTTTGGAATACTCTACATAACGATTTGAAAACTTTCCCTTCACTAATTGCTTTTTAAAAAAAGTAAAAATTTTCCCTATTACAATCTTACAATATTTAGAAATTTATTGTGATAAAACATCTCCTTCCCAATTTTTCTTTCTTTCCCTCTTTCCTTCTGCCCATCTATGAAAAACAAAACTACTTGCCATCATGTTCATGTTCTTGCTCTTTTTGTTTCAGCTATCTCAAGGATTTTGTGCGCTCCCTATTTCGTGCTCGATCTCTACAATTTTCCTTTTCTCTCCTCTCCTTCCGTCCAAACGCAGCCCACATTTTGTTCTTCTTTGTTTTTCCCTTCTTTTTTTCTGTTTCTTCTTCGTCATGTAATTTGTTACGTCTTCTTGTTTACAGTCATTAAGTGTTTTAATAAATGTTGTCTCTGTCGGCCGCTATTCTTCTTCGATTGATTATGTATTCCACATTATTTTCACACTCATTATTATCTGAGGGGTCCACAATTTACAAGCTCTGCTTTTCAGTGGACCTCTCCATTTCCTCAAAATATAATTGCAGTTAATTTTCAAAAATGCAATTTTTGTCTTCATCAAATGTATAAATTACTATTAAGATTTGTTTATTACGAATGTAACTGTGTTTTGTATACATTTTACATTGTATTCGTTATTATGTATTGTATTTTGTTGAAAATGAAAAAATAAAAATGAAATGAAATGAAATGAAATGAAATATCGCCATGCTACGCTTTGCCGCCCCTCCCTCCCCCTCTCTCTCTCTCTCTCTCTCTCTTTTCTCTCTCTCTCTCTCTCTCTCTCTCTCTCTCTCTCTCTCTCTCTCTCTCTATATATATATATATATCTCCCCCTCTCTCTCTTTATTTCTTTCTATCTTTCTTTCTTTCTAACTCACTCTCCATCCTCACTTTCATGCATTATAGCATGATTGGGGCTTTAACAACGTATGATCAGCATCTCGTAGTGATGTTATGTTGATCACAATTGAAGTTCTAATACAACAAAAACATAACGAATCCTGATCATATCTCCAAGGCAATACGTTGATTGCAACATGTTACGTAACTTTTCAAATTTTTAGGACGACGAGAACCATCATCAACTCCGTTTCCCTCTCGTAACCCATGACAACCTGGCCACTCGATGGAATTATCAAATTGTTTTTCGTCTGCAGTTGCTTGTGCATGTACATCGCTGATTCCTCCACATACGAAACGGTATACCGGTAACGTAATTTGCAATCTTCGTGAAGGAGACAGAATATCCTTTATCTGGAGTTATCTGCCCATTATCTCATCTGCGTAACCAATGGCAACTAATACACCTTGCAATTTGGCGCTCAATTTTGAAGGACAAACAGTAGTTGAGACATTCAGTTGATGTATGATGGGTGGTATATCGTCTGCTGGCATAGAAGGTTAATGGGACAGTATATTTATGTTTGCAGGTTTTTTTTATGACTATGCAATTTGAAGATATAAGACATCTTATTCCATTTTAATGAAAATGATGGCTCGTTATTTCTCATTCTCGAGTTTATTGACGTTTGGTAGTCATTAACAATAAGTAAATGTATTATTGTATGACGATGCAGGGGCAGACCTCTGTTTGGGGTCCCGAAAGCTCTCGAGTTTTAGCAGTTCAGAATATTCAAGTTAATAATAGCCGTCTTGAGCAATAGGAACAATATCTTCTAAGAACAATTTTATATAACAAAGGGTAGTCATGGGAACCACTTCTCTTTTTAAGGATGGGGTCCAGGGGTACGCCTTAGGAGCCCCTATGGATTGCAGGGACAGAGCTCACGGATGCTCTATAAAGTTTAGCAATATTAAAAACCTTCAATATAGCCTTCTTGAGCGATAGCAACGCTAAATTATCCCCATGAAATTTGCAAGTGAGTATGAACCTATTGCTTTTTTTTGTTTGAAATCAATTCTCTTCTAAGCACAATTTTGATAGAACAAAGGGTTGTCTTGGATGGGGTCCAGGGGCCCGCATTGAAGCCTCACCCAGGGTTCCAGGGGGCGGAGCCCCCATAAGCTCTTGATTTTTTTAAAATTTAGAACTAACAAGAGGAACGGCATGAAAGATAGATATTGTAATTTTCTCTTTGAAATTCACACATCCCCTATTATTTCATTAGAAAGTTTAAATTCTTCTCTCTTAAAGATAATTTCATGAATTAAATTTTTCCTACTGTTCTTCTTTCGTCCGAAGTCTTCGTAGGCACATTTTGTGCCGACTCATCGGAATGATATTGTATGTGTAAATTTAAGTTTCATTAGTTTCAGTTAAGTTTAATTTTCATCTGGCGTTCCATATTCTTACCATTTTTAGTATTTTTAAACTTGCTTCCAAAATGTGAACAATTCAGCCATTTTCTGCTCATCATATTTTGTTTTATTCCATGAATAAATCAATAAATGAATAAATCAATAATGTTCTTTTTTTATGGGTAATTTCATAAATAAGGGACCTACTTTTTGACAGTTTTGGTGTTCCAATTACAGAAGGAACTCACACGTATTTGTGGCTCTGAGTAAAGACTTAAATAGTGGAGACAGTATGATTGTTAAGTGATTCTAGGTATGCTGATGCAATACTATGCTCGGAAATCACTTTACAATCTCACTCCACTATTTAAGTCTTTACTCAGAGCCACAAATACGTGTGGGTTCCTTATGTTACTGGGACACCAAGAATGTCACAAAGTGGGTCCCTAATTTAGGGAATTACTCAATTATAGGGCTATATACATTATTGCTTTAATACGAATACCGGAGTAAAACAAGGGTGTGTCACTAGCCCGACATTATTCAATATGTTTTTAAATGATGTTGTAGATATTTTTGATACCTCAGTTAGTGAACCTGTAACGCTACATGACAAGGACTTGAACTGCATAATGTATGCAGACGATCTAGCAATTATTTCTAGATCCCCTCAAGGAATGCAGTACTGTTTAGATAAATTCACTAAATATTGTAACTCTTGGATGTTGAATGTTAATGTCACCAAAACTAAAATAATGATATGTAATTAGTCAGGCAGGTTGAATGATAAGAGTGATTTTGAAATAAACGGGGAAAAACTTACCTCGATAAAGGAAATGAAATATTTATGCATTGTTTTTAGTAATAATGGATCGTTCAAAACGGCGACAAGGGACTTAGCGGAAAAGGCCAGGAGAGCTTTATTTAAAATTTATAAATCTTTCGGCAATTATACGCCCAGTATTAAAACCTTATTACACCTGTTTGACGCAACTGTACAACCTATTTTGCTTTATGGATCCGAAATTTTGGGTGCTAGTGCAATAGACATGAAGAAAATTCTTCAAATAGAAACAGGGAAAACAGGACTGTATTATAAAAACGATTTTGAGAAAGTACACATTCAGTGTTGTAAAAATATCCTAGGGGTAAACCGCAAATGCAACAATTTAGCAGTTTCAGCTGAAATTGGAAGACATCCTCAACTTATTCAAATTGCAATAAACATGCTCAAATATTGGATACGAATATGAAGTTTGGATGAAAATGGCCTTGTCTATAAATATTTTGAAGAAAACAAAAAATTAGTAAATAACGAACAAAGCTGTTGGTTAATGTCAATTAGGGATATCTTTAGTTCACTAAATATTTGTAATAACGGAAATAAGACCGTATTAGACCCTAGAAATATACAAATTTCTCATAAAGATTTTGTCGAGTTATGTAAACTTTGTTTAGAAAGGAGATTTGATGAACAATTAAAACTGGATTTATTTGATGATAGGGATACCCGTAAAGGTAATAAACTCAGAACCTTCCGACAATTTAAAAACGCAATCAAGCAAGAAAAGTATTTATCTCATATACCAAATATAAACTTTAAGAAAAAATATCACCAAACTACGTCTAAGCGCG